AAGCTTTTAGACACAGATTGTTTTTCAGAGAGTCACAGAGAAGCTTTGACACAGAGAAGCCTTTACACAGAGAATCTTTTACACACAGAAGCTTTTACACACGCAAGCTTTTCCACAGAAGCTTTTACACAGAGAAGCTTTTGAGCACAGGAGCTGTTACACACAGACGCCTTTACACACAGAAGCTTGTACACACGGAGGCTTTTACGCACAGAAGCTTTTACACAGAGAAGCCTTTACACACAGACGCTTTCCCACAGAAAAACCGATTCCAGAGAGCAGCTTTTATACATTTCAAAATATCTCAATTTTACGTAAGTTTTTGACGTTCGGCTATCATATCCTGCGAAAGGGTCGCATCCGGCGTTGGAAAATCGTAGTTTTTGACGTTGGACCTGACCTTGTAAAATCGCAATCTTACACAAGTTTAAATACGCCCGAAACGGTTGTGCCTGACGTTTCAAAATGGATAAAGTCGCAATTCTTGAACGTTTGAATCTGACGTTAAAAGATCTCAGTTTTCCCACAGTTATTGACTTTCATGCTACGCTTGCATCTGAACTTTCAAAATCACAATTGTACACCAGTTTTTGACGGTTGGCCCTCATTTCGTGCGAAGGGGCTGTGCCGGGTCCCACCAAATTTGCATTTTGCCACATGTTTAGGTGTCCGACCTGCGCGATCTCTGCAGCGGGTTGCCCGTGCCCAAAAGAAATTCAAATTCCACCGCATGCTTGGGCTTTCGAAACGCACGATCTCCGCAGACGGTTTCGCATTTCAGCACACCACATGTTTGCCCATCCGACGCGCACGATCGCCGAAGAGGGTTGTCCGACACGTTTGGGTGTCCGACACGCCGCAGAGGGTAACGATTCGTAAGCAACCGCCTGGCTGTCCTTGCCGCCAGAGAGAAATAGAAGAACTGGCGAAGTCTGATTTTGCAGGAGTTCAGATAAAATTTGATCACCTGGAAGTTAGCTGAACTCCTGTGTAGCAATTCCTGTGTAACAATTTCTGTGCAAATGACCTTGCAGGCAGGAGTCTTGTAGGAGTTCAAGTAGAAGTGGATCACCTGCAAGTCAACTCCTGTGTAAATGACATGTTTCAAGTTTTGTAGGAGTTCCCTAGAAGTTGATCACCTGTAGCTGATGTAGGTGATGTTGTCTATGTTGTAGGTGATGAGGATGATGTTGTAAGTGATGTAAGGTTGGATAGGTTTGAAGATGTAGGTGGTGTAGAGGATGCAGTGATAAGATGATGATGTAGGTCATGTATGCGTTGTAGATGATGTATGTCATGTAGATCAGGCTGATGGAAAAAGATTGTGTAGGTGATGTAGATGGTGTAGGTGAGATTGATGATGATGATGACGACGATGACGATGACGATGACGATGACGATGACGATGATGATGATGATGATGATGATGATGATGATGATGATGTAGATGTAGATCTAGAGAACATGGTATAGAAGATGTAGGTGATGTAAAGGACATAAGAAGAGATCTGGATGATGTATGTTAGGTAGGTGAAGTGAAGAGTGAGACGGACAGCAGTTCTTTGGGAAAAAACTTCACACGAGCTTCAGGTATGTTGGCCAACAGTATTAAAGCGTTTTTCATTGCGCCTTGCACGCCCGACCTCTAGAGTAAGAAGGGCGGGGCAATAAACATACTTCACTCATTGCGTGTTTGGCAACTGTTGTTGTTTCTGGCTGCTGGGGATATTCTTTGGGCTTATTCATAGTTTTTTTTGCGCGGGCAGCTTTTAAACAGAGAAGCCTTTGCACAGGGCAGCTTTACACAGCGAAGCCTTTGCACAGAGCAGTTAGAGACCACAGAGCAGCTCTACAGAGAGAAGCCTTTCCACAAAGACGCCTTTGCACAAAACAGCCTTGACACGCAGACACTCCTACACAGACCTTGCGTTTTTACACAGGAGCGTTTGCACACAGAAGCTATTTGCACAGCCTCTACACAGAGCCGCTTTTACGCACAGAAGCTTTACACACGGGCCTCTTTGCGCGGAGAAGCCTAAACACGGAAAAGCTTTGGCGCGCACAAGCTTTTAGACAAGGATTGCTCTTCACAGATATGTCTTCACACAGACGCTTTTACACAGAGAAGCCGGTACACTTTTTAGAGGCCCTTTTACACGCAGAAGCTTTACACAGAGAAGCCTTTGCACAGAGCAGCTTTACACAACGATGCCTTTGTACAGAGCAGCTTTTACAAACAGAAGCTTTTACACAGAGACGCCTTCACACAGAGCAGCTCTACAGAGAGAAGCTTTTCCATAAAGACGCCTTTGCACAGAACAGCCTTGACACGCAGACACTCCTACACAGACCTTGCGTTTTTACACAGGAGCGTTTGCACAGAGAAGCTATTTGCACAGCCTCTACACAGAGCCGCTTTTACGCACAGAAGCTTTACACACGGGCCTCTTTGCGCGGAGAAGCCTAAACACGGAAAAGCTTTGGCGCGCACAAGCTTTTAGACAAGGATTGCTCTTCACAGATATGTCTTCACACAGACGCTTTTACACAGAGAAGCCGGTACACTTTTTAGAGGCCCTTTTACACGCAGAAGCTTTACACAGAGAAGCCTTTGCACAGAGCAGCTTTACACAACGATGCCTTTGTACAGAGCAGCTTTTACAAACAGAAGCTTTTACACAGAGACGCCTTCACACAGAGCAGCTCTACAGAGAGAAGCCTTTCCACAAAGACGCCTTTGCACAGAACAGCCTTGACACGCAGACACTCCTACACAGACCTTGCGTTTTTACACAGGAGCGTTTGCACAGAGAAGCTATTTGCACAGCCTCTACACAGAGCCGCTTTTACGCACAGAAGCTTTACACACGGGCCTCTTTGCGCGGAGAAGCCTAAACACGGAAAAGCTTTGGCGCGCACAAGCTTTTAGACAAGGATTGCTCTTCACAGATATGTCTTCACACAGACGCTTTTACACAGAGAAGCCGGTACACTTTTTAGAGGCCCTTTTACACGCAGAAGCTTTACACAGAGAAGCCTTTGCACAGAGCAGCTTTACACAACGATGCCTTTGTACAGAGCAGCTTTTACAAACAGAAGCTTTTACAAAGAGACGCCTTCACACAGAGCAGCTCTACAGAGAGAAGCCTTTCCACAAAGACGCCTTTGCACAGAACAGCCTTGACACGCAGACACTCCTACACAGACCTTGCGTTTTTACACAGGAGCGTTTGCACAGAGAAGCTATTTGCACAGCCTCTACACAGAGCCGCTTTTACGCACAGAAGCTTTACACACGGGCCTCTTTGCGCGGAGAAGCCTAAACACGGAAAAGCTTTGGCGCGCACAAGCTTTTAGACAAGGATTGCTCTTCACAGATATGTCTTCACACAGACGCTTTTACACAGAGAAGCCGGTACACTTTTTAGAGGCCCTTTTACACGCAGAAGCTTTACACAGAGAAGCCTTTGCACAGAGCAGCTTTACACAACGATGCCTTTGTACAGAGCAGCTTTTACAAACAGAAGCTTTTACACAGAGACGCCTTCACACAGAGCAGCTCTACAGAGAGAAGCTTTTCCATAAAGACGCCTTTGCACAGAACAGCCTTGACACGCAGACACTCCTACACAGACCTTGCGTTTTTACACAGGAGCGTTTGCACAGAGAAGCTATTTGCACAGCCTCTACACAGAGCCGCTTTTACGCACAGAAGCTTTACACACGGGCCTCTTTGCGCGGAGAAGCCTAAACACGGAAAAGCTTTGGCGCGCACAAGCTTTTAGACAAGGATTGCTCTTCACAGATATGTCTTCACACAGACGCTTTTACACAGAGAAGCCGGTACACTTTATAGAGGCCCTTTACACGCAGAAGCTTTACACAGAGAAGCCTTTGCACAGAGCAGCTTTACACAACGATGCCTTTGTACAGAGCAGTTTTTACAAACAGAAGCTTTTACACAGAGACGCCTTCACACAGAGCAGCTCTACAGAGAGAGGCTTTTTCACAAAGGCGCCTTTGCACAGAACAGCTTTGACCCAGACACTCCTACACAGACCGCTTCGGGCGTACATTTTGGCTCGCTTCGGGCATAAATTTGGTTTGGTCTCGCTTCGGGCGTGAAATTTGGTGACGGTTTTGATTGGTGTGGTGGGCGTGAACGCAGGCGCCGTATTTTCTACGTATTGCTCATCTAAGCAGGCAAAACCTTTGCATCCGTGTCCACTGCGTTCATTCATATTCGTTCATTTACGTTCAGCCATTGTCATATTCATTCATTCATTTTCATACATATGCATTTTCATATTCATATTTTTTCATTTTCATATTCGTTTTCATATTCAGTCATGCATTCATGCATTCATGCCTTCATGCGTTCATGCGTTCGTTCATTCATTCAGTCAGTCAGTCAGTCAGTCATTCAGTCATTCAGTCGTGTTCAGCCATTCAGTCATTCAGTCACTCATTCATTCATTCATCCATCCGTTCATTCATTCATTCACTCATTCATTCATTCATGCATTCATGCATTCATGCATCCACCGCCTTGTGCGGTTCTGCTGTGTAATAGTAGCGGTGGTGGTTTTAGTAGTAATGCTAGTAGCAAAAAGGAACCCCTGTATTTTTCAGAGCGCACGTCACATGATCAGATCTGAACACCCCGGCAAATCGAACCCTTGACGCTTTCCGATTGACATGATAATTTTTTTCAGCGCTTGGCGATTCAGCAACTCAATGATGTCTATGCGATCCATGTATATATATATATATCTCTCTCTCTATCTATCCATGTCTTGACATGGTACCAGAATCTATCCATATTATAGCAGTAGGCTAGACGGTTAGACCCCTATTTCATTTATTTTCTGCATTTGCCTGGTTTTCATTTTGTGCCCCTGGCTTGCGGTCATTGCCACAGGGCGGTGAGGTTACCGAATGCTCAGGCATAGGGCCTATTTTCACCAGGGTTCCAGCAAAGATGCGTGATACATTGGCAGGATGCTTCAGAGAAAAAGAAATCCAAGCTGAGAAGCAACTCAGCTGCAGTTCGATCGTTGGGGCGCTGCATTCTTGATGAGCAAGATTGAGCAAGGCTGTACCATGCAGACCTGCCGGGTTTCCGACCCCAGGCATGCGAAAGACGTACAGTCGTTTGCAGGTAATACTTGAGGCCAAGCGGTGGGCACGTTAGTTTCGCTTGCCTGTTTGCAAATGAATAATTTTTTTGCTGCTCTGGAACCGTTCAAGGCCGGAGCGTCATTTAGCTGTGCATAGGTTGTACTGCGGCAACGTGTTTATCATTTGGCAGGAGGAGCTGGGATCGCAACGACAAAGAATACGAGAGAAATACAAGGCACGCACGCGGCAGTGGGAGCCTGGGTGGCTTACACAGAAGTGGTCATGGAGAGAGGCGCGGCTTTCGAGGCATAGAACACTTCGGACCCGCGCAATCAAGCTTCAAAAGCACGCACGGTCAATGCCCGCCAATGGGCGAGGTACATTGAAATGCTTTCTTGAAAGACACTGCTTCTGAATTTGTAACCTGGTGCCCGCCTTGGCCAGGCGCGGCTCATGCGCATTGCGAATAAAGCCTAAGCGCTGCAACCTCAATGCATCCGGCATACGACTGTTTGTGTGCGACTGATGTGGTTTTCAAATGTGTTGAGTGAGTTGGCTCATGGGACCTCAGCCAATGCATACTTCCCTCAGGGCATATAGCTTTACAGCAGCTGGGGGAAGCAAAAGTTTGTGGCAGAAGCACTTGGGTAGGAGGCTTCTGCGAAAGCAGGGCAAGGGCTGCACTGAATTTTCATATGGTAGTTGCCGAAAATGATCAGCGAAATTGCTTACCGCGAGGGAAGCACAAGCAATGCGAACACACTGCTGCGCAGCGTATTGCATCGCAAAGCATTCTTTCCAGAACTTGCGCGCTACATATATGTCACAATACACGGCTCAAAGCCCAACTTGCCAACAGAATCATTAGAAGAGGCCCCCGCTTGTTGCAATCTACTGTTCTCTTGTTCCGCCATGTCCAAGGCAGGCTTGCGGGAAGAGGTTAAGCCGCTTGTTTCACCGCAAAGCCGGCTCTCTGGTGCAAAAGACGCGCGGAATGATGGGCATTGTTCCCAGATGTTTTTGTGGCTTCACCAAGGTGCTGCGTGAGCCCCAGTTCCAGCCAGCGTGCTGGTTGGGACCATAGGCGGACATAAACACTTATCCAGAAATATTTTCACAAAAAATCGAATATAGGAGCTATTTCCACGCATCCCAAGTCAATTTGATGAGGGGTTTTGTTTTGGGGCACGTAGATTTGAAACTTTGAGTCGTTGGGAAAGAGAGGACGCATATGGCGAAGCAGGGAAAGCAATTAGGGAAGAAATTCGGCTTGTAAGTTCTACAATAAAGATTTTCCGACTTCAGGGCATTGTTGAAGGCAATTCCACACCCTCATGTTTTTCCTATATACTAGTACTAGGTTAGCTTTGCATGTTTTAATCTAGCAATAACGGTCCGGATACATATTATTACAAGTATTTGTATGATCCTCGCCATTAGATACCTACAACCTGATTTATCATTCCACAGGAAGGTTGCTGAAACCCAGGTAAAGCAGCGCTTTGCACGTTTTTACTTTTTACTATTCGCAGCGCGCGCATTTCTTAAGGAATTTGAAACATGTGCTCGCTCTCGTTGCGGGCGGTGCTCATGTCGAAATCGCCTGTGCAACCCTGTCCTCACTTTGCTTGCGCGTCTCGGATTGCTCTCGGAGCCATGCTCATTTTGGCATCGCTCGCGCAGCCCTCGCGTCACCTTGCGACTGTCGGATCGCTCACATTATTGCTTTCTGATTTTGTTGATATCACTCGCACAACCTTTTCGTTACTGTGCGCGTATTGAATCGCCCTCGTTGTGGCGCAGTGCTTATTTTGAAATCGCTGGCGCGCTCGTCTCGTCACTTGGCGCGCCTGCGACGGCTCTTTTTAGGGCGCGAGGCTCGTTGGAGCTGCTTCTCAGGAATCCTGGGCACGGGATCTTAGGTGTTCTCGATCTTGCGAGTTGCATGTCATAGCGCGCTCTTGGAGGTCCTCATCAAGCCTCGGGCCAAATTTTGCAGAGGTCCGCCTATGATCTTGCGAAGAGAGGTCCTTGCATGGTTTTATTCCTTGCTCTCCTCCTTGTTCTCCTCCTTGCTCTCCTCCTTGCTCTCCCCTCCTTGCTCTCCTCCTCCCTCCTAATTGCTGTCCTCCTTGCTCCCCTTCTTACTCTCCTGCTGTCCTCCTCCTTGCCGTCCCCCTTGCTCTCCTCGGGTAATTGTTCTGCTGTTCACAAATTCTTTTAGGTGTCCGTTTGCTTGCCTCTTCGCTTGTTTGCTTGTCCGCTCCTATGAATTTTGCCTTTCTTCTTTCCCCGCTTCTTTGCCTTCATGTTTCTTCGCTTCTTTGTTTCTTCGCTCCTTGCTTCGCTGCTTCCTCGTTTCTCGAACATAAACCAAACCCCAAATAAAGCCAGAAACAACCGTAACAAACCAACCCTGAAACTTGGTGAAGTCGTCTCTGAAAAGGCAATTGCATGAAGATCTTGAAGTGCTCGTATAAAATTTTAGGAGGCCCTTGCACATCTTCTCTCGAACGCTTTTTGGACGGTTTGATCGAATTCTATTGAGGTCTCTGCATGAAGATCTCGACCACAAATTTGTACATGTCTTTGTGAAAAGAGCCTCGTGGAATCCTTTGAGAGGTCCTTCCAGGAAGACCTTGCAGACGCCATGTCTTACGGGCGCTTGTATGAAAACTTGTGTGGGATGCTCGCATGCGGCTCGCTTGTTGTAAGATTTTGCAGGCTCCTCTCAGAGGTCTTTGCATGAAGACCTTGGTCAAGATCTTGTAGAGCTGCTGGTAAAAGATCATTTGGAGGTGTTGGTAAGAAGATCTTGTGGGGGCCGTGATGAAATGCATGAAGAGGTCCTTTCGCAAAGATCTTGAAGATGCCTTGTATGAGGGGTGCTTGCATGAAAGCTTTTCTGGGAGGCTGCCAGGCGGTTTTTGTATATAAAGATACCTCTAGAAGGTCCTTCTTTTCGATCTTGCGAAATTTTCTTCAGTGTCCTGGTACGAGGGTGTGGTTTGAGGTTCTGGTCAGGAGCTTGCTCCGCTCTGTAGATGTAATTGTCAGCATTGCTCTGGGTTTGTCACCCGGATATTTTTTAGAATATTTCGTTGGCTAGCCGAGCTGTCGTTTGTGTTTCGCGCGCATTTTTCAGTTTTTTTCGCCGCGCCAACTCTCGCTATAGTCTCAAACGCGCTTTGTCGGTGTGATAGGTAGCGGTGGCTTGGTTTTGAAGTGGTGAGGCGGTGAAGCCGTGAAATGGTGCCTTCCCAGCCTGATCCAATTTGAATTTTCTTTGAATAGCCACCACAAACCCTAGGATTTGGGGTTTTAGGTTTAGGGTTTACAAGATAGCGAAAATAGAATACCAAGGCTTTTAAGTGTTATTTCGGCGGCGAAATTGAAACTCCGAACGTGAGGTGCTTTGAGCTTTTTACTTGCAAATGTGCTTCGCGCCACAACGGCGTGCAATTTTTTATCTCTCATCTGGCCAGCTGGCTCCGCACCCGCCGCTATAGCGAGCCTACTTTTCGACCCTCTGGGGCCACAAACCATTGGAACAAGATGGAAGCCACGAACCCGAATGTATTCACGTTCTTGGACTACGATTGAAAACTTCTGCAATGGGAAAACAGACCTTTTTTCCCCACATTGACGTGTGGGGTTTTTGTTTTTAGTTCTGTATCCGCTCCGTCCTCCCGTCCTCCCGTCCTCCTCCGTGGCCTCACTCACTCACTCACACACTCACTCACTCACTCACACTCACTCACACTCACTCACTCACACTCACTCACACTCACTCGCTCACTCATTTCCTCACTCACTCACTCATTTCCCTCACTCACTCACTCACTCATTTCCCTCACTCACTCACTCATTTTACTCACTCACGCACGCACGCACGCACGGACTCACTCAACTCAACTCAACTCAACTCAACTCAACCAAACCCAACCCAACTCAACTCAACTCAACTCAACTCAACCAAACCCAACTCAACTCAACTCAACTCAACTCAACCAAACCCAACCAAACCAACTCAACCAAACCCAACCCAGCCCACCTCCACCTCACCTCACTCTCACTCACTCACTCACTCCACTCACTCCACTCACTCCACTCACTCCACTCACTCCGTTCACTCACTCCACTCACTCACTCCACTCACTCACTCCACTTACTCACGCACTCACGCACTCACGCACGCACGCACGCACACAC